GGATCCAAGGCCTCCCCATGATCATATTGTAGGTCATTTCCATATCAACTACCTGAAATTTAATTTCTTTAACAACACCTGCAGCAAAAGTTGTTAGAATTACCTCTCCTTTTGTTACCACACTTGAATTGTCGAAGCCTGACAAGGTATGCGCCTTGGGTATCATTTTGTCTTCAGCTTGCATTTCACGTAATACCCTTAGTAGTATAATATTTACGGAACTCCCTGGATCAATCAAAACTCGTTTTACATTAGTATCATGTACAAGTAAAGATATTACCAGTGCGTCATTATGTGGAGTTATCACTCCTTCGGTATCTGCATCATCGAATGAAATACTTTCATTTTCTAAAACCTGTCGTACCCGTTTCCCGTGTGTAATTGTTACTTTAGAAACCTTGTTGGAAGCTGTGTAGGTTATGCCGTGAATATCTTCTCCCCCACTTATCACATTCACTGTTCTCTTGGGTGAAGGAGGCTTTGGTGGCTCTTGCCTATTTTTCATATAGGCTTGTTTACCTTTTTCACTAAATAACTCAGTGAGGTACCCTTGCTTCAATAGATGATCCACTTCACTCTGCAAGAATCTACATTCTGAAGTTTTGTGCCCGTGATCATTGTGGAATTCGCACCAATGATCTGGATTGCGTCTATTTGGATTTGACCGCATCTCTTTTGGCCACCGTACCTTATCTCCCATGCTTCTCAAAACAGCCACGAGCTCGGAGGTAGTGACATTAAAGTTATATCCGCCGAACCGTGCCTTTAAACTTCTATCATCATCTCGTGACTCTTGTCTGTTTATTTCTAAATCTTGATGAAGAACCAGAGTCCCTGTTCCTTGATTTTTGATCATATTGTTGGCTATCTTGCTTTGACCGTGAGTCTTTTCCTGCAGGTCCCATATATGGATCGTACCTGTTTTTACCTGATCTTTTTTCGGTTTCTGATCTTCTGGAACCGCCCCTTTCTTTATGATGAAACTTAGGTACGGTATCTTCTTCAATTCGTAGCTTCGTACTATACCTGTTGTAAACATCATTCCACGTGGTTGCAGGAAATTCTCGAAGGCTTTCTTTGAGTCGTCTCGTGGCTTCAGAACTTTTGTCATTTAAATTACTCGCAAAGGCTATTGCAACCCAGTTGTCAGGCACACGGGGTAGAGTCATTCTTTCACGCTGGAATCTATCAACAAAATCTCTAAGCAACTCTGAATCCCCTTGTTTGATTTTGAAAATATCTTCCATTCTTTTCTCAACCTTTTGAGCTCCCGAATGTGCTTTAATAAAAGAATCTGCAAGCTCAGCAAAAGAATTTATAGAATTTTCAGATAAAAGAGAATACCAGGTTAATGCACCCTTGGTGAGTGTTTCTCCAAATTTCTTGACCAGTACTGATTCAATTTCTTGTTTGGTCAAGTCGTTGCCTTTTACGCCTGTTGTAAATGCAGTCACGTGGTCACGTGGGTCTGTAGTACCATCATATTTCGGGATGTCATGAATTTTGAACTTTTTCGGAATTGGAAGGGGAGCAGCACTTGGCTTCCAAGGTTGTTATGAGTATTTGTCCATGTCAACTCCCTTTATTACAGGCGGAACTCCAGGGATTTGCTCAATACGCTCATTTTGTTCCTTAATCTGTTTCTGCAAGGTTAGTACTAAATTTTGCAAATAGGAATTATTTGAATTACCTGGTCCCCCTTCCTGTGGTTCACTGGTGGTTCCTCCATTTCTAGAATTAACAAGACCAGAATGGGGATTCTCCAATTTATTATTATTAGGAGTTGGTGTGGGTGATGCAGCAGGCAATCGACTAACTAGAGCCTGAAGAGCTTTGCCGACCTGTGCATCAATTAGTTTTTGTAAAGCTTCATTTGTACCTCCTTCAAAGTGTTCAGATTGTTCTTGTTGATCAGCACGGGATTCAGGAGCAGGAGTGCCTTCACGAGATTGACGTGGTGAATCTGGAGGAGAGGGAACCACGTCAATGTTCGGTAGGTCACCTTGATTTTGATGGATTTGATTTTCATGGTTTACCAATGTGTTATCACTATTATTGTTGTTGTTGTTTGACATGTTGATAAAAGACGAATAAAATGTAGCTTCAAATAAAAGATTATCAGTTTTTCGGTAACGGAACCAATTTGTTTAACCAAAAATATGATTCTTTGGTCAAAGCTAAAGACAAATAGAAATTCGGGCTACTGATAATCAGGAGACGAAAAATAAATAGACTTTTTGAGAATGACAAATAAGTAGTAGATAAGTTTGTATTTTAATGTAATGTTAATGGTATCCTCTGTCCTTACAAATGACCTGACCTCCTCCTTTTATAGTTGATCCTAAGTAAAGGAGTAATACCTTAGCCTTAATGAGACAATTATGAGCAATAAATGACATTAAATAAGACGTTACACAATCATTCCTATTTAATACCAATTCTCTAACGTATTGGGTATTTCATATTGAATTTGGACTCCTTTTTGTCATCATATCCATGTCTTCAATGCCTTCTGATCTCTTGGCTTTAAATGACCTAAATAGGTACGAAGCTTGTATTATTCGAATTGTCTCTCTTGCCTATTTAGCTTTCCTTTCCCCGTATCTGTTGTCACTCGTGCCTCTTAACTGATCACCATGTTTTGACCATTTGACCAGTCCTCGTGTCATGTCACGTCACCTTCAATGTAAATTCAATTTTTTCCCAATACAAGGACTTTGTAGACATTTTATTGAAATAATCTACTAGTTGTTCCTTAATGGAATCCAAGACTACAGTAAGATCTTCACTAATAATCTTCGTCTCTGTTTTTCTCTTCATCGGTGTTATGGCCTCTATGTGATTGTTGCACTCTTTCTTTGAAATGTTTGATTGAGGTCGTTTTAGTTTGAGATTTTCGGTGTTGATTCGAGGTTCCGGTTCGCAATTTTGGTGTTTTAGTCCAAGGATTATTGCTTTATTTAGCCCGATTGATTTGCAATTTTCAGCTTTGTTCATCAATAAAAGGTCCAACAACAACAACAACAACGACCCAGTATAATCCCACAAGTGGGGTCTGGGGAGGGTAATATGTACGCAGACCTTACCTCTACTCCGAAGGGTAGAGAGGCTGTTTCCAGGAGACCCTCGGCTCATTTCTCAATTTTCATTCTTATTTCATTTTGTTATGATAGCTTGGTGCATATGTTGGTTGATTTGTGATTCTATGTTGTTTGAGTAGTGTTTCTTAGTTTTCATTTACTTTGTTTTAATTAGTTTTATTTCGATTGTGATGTATGTAGTCTTGGTTCTTGAATAAATGCTTTTAATTGGGTAGATGGGAAATTAGAGTTGTTTCTTTCTTGGCAAGGAATAAGAATGTGCCATAAGGTGGGTCTTGAACCATAAGGAATCTGGCCAAGTAATAGATCATGTTAACTAGCCTATTTGCTCCCCAATAATATCTTGTTCATAAATTTGGCATCACAACAATCTCAAAGATTAGGAAAATAAGTCAAATGCGCTAGTTGCTTTAGGCGCGATTAATAATAACCATCGTGACTATGGGTACGGTTCCTGTGGCATGGTCACGATACATAATCCCCAATTCGGGTGTGCATTTCATGTTACCCGACCTCAACTTCGAATAATAATAAAATAAATATGTTATAAATTGCGGGTGTATTTCATGTGGCGCGGTTTGCAATGTATCCCAAAACGACAAGTGTGCGACATCGTGACTTATTTAAATAAATTTCATAAATATTAAAAGCGGTTAAAAGATAAAAATACATAATAGGTTTAAAACATGTCATTAGTCAGATAATTACGCCAATTAATAATAGTTGAGCGACCGTGCTAAAACTATGGAACCCGAGAATGCCTAACACCTTCTCTCGGGTTAACAGAATTCCTTATCCGGATTTTTGTGTTCGCAGACCATAAATAAGAGTCAAACTTCCTCGATTTAGGATTTTAAACCGGTGACTTGGGATGTCATAAATTATCCCAAGTGGCGACTCTAAAATTGAATATAAATAATCTCAATTCGATTAATGTCACTTTAATTGGAAAAACTTCCTATCCCCTTTGGAAAAAGAGAGGTGTGACATTAGGAAGAAGGCGAAATATTAAATTAATATGCCAATCAAAGTCACAACTACAGATACTCTTTTTAATAATATATTCAAAGGGTTTATAGAGAATTTGTAAAAGGTGAAAAATACGATCATTTAATTGATAGATCAGACGATATCATGGAGTACATGAAAGGATTTAGGATGCATTGCAACACTCCATGGCACCATGTTGATCATGTCCTCTTTCTAATTAATTTGACAGAAAGGTGGCATTGGATATTGGGATATGTATCATTCCATAAGAGATGTTTTTATGTGTATGACACTCTACGTAGTCGAAATAACAAAAAAGCTATTCAAAAGGCGGCAAAGGCATATGATGTGTTGATCCCCCTGTTTCTAGTTAGTATTGAATTTTATAACCAAAGAAGTGATATTGTAGTATAAAATGGTGTGCACATAGGAAGGGACTTGACTGATCCATTTGAGATTGACCTGATTACAAATCTGCCAACACAACAAAATTTGTAAGAATAGTTACTTTTTTTACTTTGTTTTTCTCATTCATATTAAAAAATTTCACTACTAATAGATTTTTATATTATATTCAGTTATTTTATTTCAGAGAATGTGGAGTATATGTTGCATTCTTTGTTGAGTACATTATTGAAGGTCTTCCAATCCTTGTTGCCAATTTTGATGTGGATGGTCTTCGAGCTAGGTTTGGTATACTACTATGGTACTATGGGAGGAACAAACAATTGCATGGTGAATCAAGTGAATCTGAGGCAGGATTTTAATAGTTTTTGGGTGAAGTATGGTATTTTGCATTATTAGATAGTAAAAATGCTAGATTTTAAAAGTGTGTTCTAGGAATACAATTGCAATAATACAATATGTTGGTATAACCGTTTTAATGTTGGAATCTATATTCAGTTTGTTTCATTTTGGAAAACTATAGGAGTTTAAATTAACAGAATTAGGCGTGATAAAACTGCACCTTTTTCCCTCTCGAGGATTCGAATTAGCTGCTGAAAGAGAGGAAGAGTTAAAATAAGATATTTTTCCTACGTATTTGGCAGATTTTGTTCTTCCATAATGAGCAATTTTTATTTTTCTTTGAACTTGCGCGGTTGCAACTTGTTCCCTTCTTGCTACTGTTATGCTTCCTAGAGCTTCGACTATCAATGAGGGTGAAGATTTCAATAAGAATTCTCCACAGAAGGGGTTGAAGTTATTCCCCCACTGCTTTTCTTAAGCTTCTTCAATAAAGTTATTGGTTTATTAGCAGTACCTTTCGGAGACAAAACATTTTCAGCACTTGAAGTCAAGCCATTATGATCAATATTACCTCTTTTGATAACTGGTTGTCTAGGTGATTTCATTTTAGGAGAGATCGGTGGAGTTGTTACTAAAATTTTAACTTTAGTACTGCAATTTGAAGTAGGAGGAGCACTGGTAGTAAGCTGTAATACAACAACAAAAGTTATTGTTGGATGTGACTTTTTAAGGGAGTTACGACGTTCAAAAAAAGGAACTATGTTGCTATTTGGTTGAAGAACAGGGCGACCATTGATTTGAATGACAAAAAATATTTTTAAAAAGCGAATTTGTTTTGGATTTGAGAGTAGTTTTTAGTTGTAGTTGAATCTAAGAAATTTTGTGCAGATTTTGCATTGCTGCACCAGTTGTATTCTGCAAAGATTTTTGTTCAGGTATATTAGCGCAGTAGAACTACACACCAATAAGGTATACAGATATATCATTTGGGTATCAAGTTGTATTTGAGTAACTTTTTTCCTGTAGCAACTAGATGTAAATACTGACATGAGTTGCAAAGTGTGCCAATTTTGTTGAGGAAGTATGTACAAATGTTATATTTTTTTTTTGGTGCACCTCCTGTATTTCTGCACATATTTTGGTTTAACCATATTCAATACAACTATATACCAATAAGGTACACAAATATACCATTTGGGTACGACATTGTATTTGAGNTATATATATATATATATATATATATATATATATATATATATATATATATATATATATATTTTTGCATTTTTTGATGGACCACTTGTATTTCTCTATATATTTTTGGTTTAACTATATTAGTGCAATACAACTATATACCTTGTTTTTGAGTATCTTTTTGTTATACTTAAATATTGATACGAGTTGCAAAGTGTACCATTTTATTAAGGAAGTATGTACATATGTTGCATTTTTTTGGTGCTCCACTTGTGTTTTTACACATATTTTGGTTTAACTATATCAGCGCAATATAACTATATACTAATAAGGTATACAAATATACCATTTGGATATTACATTGTATTTGAGTACCTTTTTTCCTTACAGTAACTGCATGTAAATGGCTTCCAATTTATTATACTTCAATACTGATATGAGCTGCAAAGCGTACCCATTTTGTTAATTATGTATGTACAGATGTTGCATTTGGGGTACTACTTCTATTTCTACACATATTTTGATACCAATAAGGTATACAGATATACCACTTGGGTATCACATTATATTTGAGCATCTTTTTTCTGCAGCAATTAGATGTAAATATATCCCACTTTTATATACTAAAATAGGAAATAAATAAATTCTTATTAAAAACACAAGTATACATATAAAATTTTTGCCAAAAAGTAATTTGGAAAAGAATCACCATACCAAATATATGTCTAGTGCAAGACATGCATTTTATTTTTTGCAATTCAAATGATTCTTCCATACTCGATGTCATGGTCATTCTATTTGCCTTGGAATATGCTCGGGATCATTTATCATATCCATCAAGTATGCTTTCACTCTACTATCAATAGTTTCTAACTTTGCCATATGCATGTTGAATTCTTCAACAGTGTATTCTCTTGCTAACGCAAAGTATACTTCTTTGATTTATTTTTAGCTCTTCCTGAAGTTCGTCTTTATGTTGTTCCATAGATGGAACATACATGCACAATGAAGGACTTTTGGATAAACAATTGAAGTTTCACTCCATATACCATCATGCATGTCTAATACAACACACATTCCCTCTCTTTTTTCATAAATTTCTCTGAACTGTATGAAGAACCACTCCCACGATGCATCGTTCTCTGAATCAACAATTACATATGCGAGGGATAGAATTTGTCCTATAAAACCAAAGGAAAAAATATTAGTTACAACATACAATATTAATATATCATTTTATATAGTAGTATAGTCACAGATAGATGTAGGTATGTAACAAAATAATTATATACTCTGTTGGTATACTTGTATACCATATTAGTATCATATGATATTTGAAGATTTTTTTTGTTGCTTTAACTGAATGTAATTGGATTGCATTTTTAAAATAGTAAAGTACATCAATTATTCAATATTGATTCTGAGATAACTTTTTTTCTTACCATGTCTTATGTGGAATCCGTGAGTATGGTCCCTCTATATGTTGACTTTAAAAAACTTCTACCAACTACAACTGTTGGCCTATAATAGATCCAATCTCTAATCGATACATATATATCTATGAATGCATACAAAGCTCCCATCTACTTCAGTGTGTAATCATGACAGTGATCCTGGGTTAGCGTACTCTAACATGTAAAGATATGTTGGTATTTTCTTGTATGATTCACTTGGTGTTCCTTTCAACAATTACATTGCTTTTTCTTTTGATCTACATGCTTGCATGTATCTTAAGTCCATACCATATGCTTTTTGGATGTCTGTAATGATCCGGCCGGTCATCGATAGGCGCCATCACGACGGATCATGTTTTGGGTCGTGACAAGTTGGTATTAGAGCCTAGGTTACAAAGGTCTCATGAGTCATGAGTAGGTTTAGTAGAGTCTTGCGAATCGGTACGAAGACATCTGTACTTATCTTCGAGAGGCTGCAGAACCCTTAGGAAACTTCACATTTTTGAATTCTTATCGTGCGAATCTATTGATACTGGTAACTAAACTTCTGTTATTCAATTCTCTCATAGATGGTGAACAGACGTGCTACCGATTAGGACGGACAGTCACTAGTACCACCAGTTGGGGTCGCAAGAGGCTAAGGTCGTGGTAGAGGCCGTGGTAGGGGCAAGGGTGTAGCCCGCACAGCAGCTAGGGCATCACCTGCAGATCCACCAGTTGTCCCAGTACAGGATCAAGTCTTAGTTGTGGATGCACTAGCGGGACCAGCTCAGGCACCAGTTGTGCCCTTCATGATTTTAGGTCTTCAGGAGACCTTAGCTTAGATTTTGACTGTATGCATCGGTCTTGCTCATGCAATCTCTATTTCTACTACAGCATCCACTTCTTAGGTAGGGGGAGGTGCTTAGAATCCCGCCGCCCGCACACCTGAGTAGGTGGTACAGGTACTTCCGACATCGACGTCACCACCAGCCCAACCGATTGCACCTACTCAAGACTATGTGGTTCCAGTCATGCCTGATGATGAGCAGCATAGATTAGAGAGGTTTGGTAGACTTCAGCCTCTGATTTTTAGCGGTGCAAAGGGCGAGGATGCCCAGGGTTTCTTGAATAAGTGTCAGAGGATTCTCCGTATAGCAGGTATTCTGGAGACCGGTGGGGTCTCGTTCACTACCTTTCAGTTCTCTCGAGCTACCTTCACTTGGTGGGAGGCTTATGAGAGGTGTAGTCGTATTGGTGCAGTGCCCCTTACCTGGCAGCAGTTCTTCATTCTCTTCCTGGAGAAGTATGTGCTGCAGTCCCGCAGAGAGGAGCTACGCAAACAGTTTGAGCAATTGCGTTAGGATTATTTGATGGTGATACAGTATGAGATGAAATTTTCTGAGTTGGCCCGTCATGCTATTTTGTTGGTTCCCACAGATAGGGAGAGGATCAGGTGGTTCATTGATGGCCTCACATATTAGATGGGGATTCTTATAACTGGGTAGAGGGTGTTTGGTGCTTCTTTTGAGGAGGTTGTTGACATTACTCGGGATATAGAGTTGAATCTCCACCAGGAGCGAGTAGAGAGGGAGGCCAAGAGGCCTCTTGGATCCAGTAGTCTTGGTGGTTTTCCTTTTGGAGGTCAGTTTTACCACGGTAGGGGTCATCCCTTCAGGCATGCTCAGACGGCTCGTCCAGTCCACCGTGGTGCACCATCTAGCCATGATTTTCACAGTTGTCAGTAGGGTCACTCATCTCTCAGTGCCCTTCTAGCTCAAAATGCATGTTGTGCTCCATCGGTTCAGGGATCGTCAATGGCAGGTTCCTCTACCAGTTATCCTGGTGCTTGGGGCTCCCTTCAGTCCCCACCACCAGCACCAGGGAGTTATTTTGAGTGTGGGGAGTTTGGGCATATGGGAGGCAGTGTCCTCGTCATTAGGGAGGTCCAACGCAGTATAGGGGTCAGGCTGCATCTTCAGCACCAGTTACATCACCACCCGCCCAGTCAGCTCGGGGTAGAGCTTAGTTAGCTAGGGGTCGCCCAAGAGGGGGAGGTCGATCAGGTGGAGGTCAGGCCCGTTTCTATGCTCTTCTTGCCAAACTAGACGCCATTACTTCAGACAAAGTGATCACAGGTATTGTCTCAATATGTCACCGAGATGCTTCTGTATATTTGACGCTAGTTCCACCTATTCATATGTATCCTCATATTTTGCTTATTATCTGGATATGCCCCGTGAGTCTCTTGTTTCTTCTGTTCATGTATCGACATCGGTGGCTATACTATTATTGTGGACTGTATGCATAAGTCATATGTAGTGACCATTGGGGGATTGGAGACTAGAGTGGATCTTCTACTACTTAGTATGATTAATTTTGATGCGATATTGGGTATGGATTGTTTGTCTCCCTGTCATGTTATTTTAGACTACCACACTAAGACTATAACATTGGCGATGTCAGGGTTGCCTTGGATTGAGTGGTGACGTTCTTTAGATTATGTCTCCAATGGAGTGATTTCATACTTGAAAGGCCAGCGGATGGTTGGGAAGGGTTGTTTATCCTATTCGGCTTTTGTGAGAGATGTCAATGCAGAGACCCTTACTAATAATTCGGTGCCGGTGGTGCACGATTTTCCATATATGTTTCCTGCAGACCTGTCGAGCAGGTCGCCGAACATGGATATTGATTTCAGTATTGATTTGGTGCCAGGCACTCAACCTATTTCTATTTCACCATACTGTATGGCACCGGCTGAGTTGAACAAGTTAAAGGAGCAGCTTTAGTAGCTCCTTAAGAAGGGGTTTATTAGGCCTAGTATATCACATTGACGTGCACCTATTCTATTTATGAAGAAGAAGGATGGCACTATGAGAATGTGCATTGATTATAGGCAGTTGAACAAAGTCACAATCTAGAACAAGCATCCTTTGTCGCGCATTGATGATCTATTCGACCAGCTTTAGGGAACGAGGATGTTTTCCAAGATTGATCTCAGGTCAAGGTATCACCAGTTGAAGATTATGGACTCAAACATTCTTAAGACAGCTTTCAAGACCCGATATGGTCATTATGAGTTCCTTGTGATGTCTTTTGGGATGACCAATGCCCCATTAACGTTCATGTATTTGATAAACAATGTGTTCCATCCTTATTTCGGCTTG